GCTGATCAGTTGAAAGAAGACAAAGTTATTGACAACTGGCATGCTAGTTACAATAATCTCAATCTCTTTTCAATTTCAGCTGCTAAATTATCTCCATTGTACTTAAGCTTAGACAAAGTGACATAAAGCTGGTGCAGCACAGTATCAGGGGCTTCTCCCCCAAATCGAAAACCTGAAAGTTTGACAATACAATATCAGTCCAATTTAAAAAAAAAAATGAATACCAAGTCACAACTCAGAACCCTCTCCTTAGATGTGTCTGTTTTAGAAGATCCAACCAGTAATAACTCAGAATATTACCTGGTTCTCATTAAGAAGAGTACGGTATGAGACAATAAGCTCTCCACCTAGCTGACCACCACTTTTGGAGTTGATGAACACTATCACCGGACAGGGTGGTATATATGAATGTATATCAACGGCTGAACCAGGTACAAGTATATAATTTGGAATGTAATAATCCTCCAAAATATGTTTAGAATTAGGATCACCCATTACTGTTTCTGATCTGCATGTTTTCAAAAAAAAAAAACATCAAATTAATGAGCTGGTAATAATAGTAAGTTCTAGACTGCTGATGATATTGGTAATCATGAGTCAATGATACACTATTTTTTAACTATCCACATAATCTCTGTGTAAGAAACTAAAAGTACGACAGGGGTAAAAAGAATCTTTAATCAAAGAGGATACTATCACACTCATCTTTAGGGGGAAAAGATAATGGTAAAAAAAAAGTAGTAGTAATGTGCAGTGTCTTTTCAAGAAACAAAATAGAATTTTCAACAGAAACAAACCAAGGCGAGAATTTCATCAACAGGATATCACCTTATTGATTCCGATCCCCTAGTAAATTACCACATAAAAGTCAGATGGAGAACATCTTACTGATTTTAAGAAAATCAAACAAATAAAAAAATCATTTCAAAACAACATCCATAAGAAACCCAAGCACAGCCTTAACCAAACCACAAGCACTCCATTTCAGTTAAGTTGATAACTATTACACATACTGCATCATGGTACAAACAAAAATAATCGACATGTTCGCATACTTCAAAGTGTACACACGAAGAGACAGACACATATACACATGTCTATACGCATTTTGCTGCTACTAAAAACTCCCAACTCCTAGAAAGTAAACCATAACCAGAATCCCTAGGATCCGGCGCTCGTAATCAGAGACCTTAGCGACGATCCATGCGACCATCTCCTCGAACGAAGCGAAAATTTGCTGAGAAATTCCATTTTCTCACTCGTTTCGTTTCATCAATCAAAAAATGCAGCCAAAAAGAATAAAAATACTTAGATATAACATAAAATTTCAAAAATAAAAACGCAATAATCAATTGCCACCAAGTCACGCAAGAATCTTCCTTCTCTTCCTCTCCTATTTTATCAGCAACCAAACAGCAAAAAAGGTTATCACAAATACACACACGAACTCGCACGGCAAAATACATACATATACACACACACACACACACACAAAAGATAGATAAATTGATACTTTACCTAATACGAAGCACAATTCAAAAGGAGAA